TATCGATATACTATATATACATCTTATATACATCTTATATACTATATATATTCGAATATCTATGCATCTTAGATATTTATTTTAACATCCTTTTGTCTCTAATATTTATTTATTTATTTATTTATTTTTTAAAAAATATTGGGCCCACTTAGCCCACTTAGCCCGTTTAGCCCGCGGCCCGGGACAGTTTGGACCGGCCCACTTGGCCTGTTTAGGCCCGGGACCGGCCCACTTGTCAGCCCTAGTTGTAACAAATAAATCATTATATGTGACTATATGACAATTAAAAGTTAAAAAAATAACCTATCTGGAAACTGATTTTTCAATTTTTATTCACTCCCACGCGCTTAAAAGAGAGTGCACCCACACTCTTCGCCACATCAGTTGTAATTGTTGACTCATATTGTAGCACTGTTGATTGAACTAATAAAATCCCTAATTCTTCTTATTTTTTTCATTTCAATATTCAATTACATTACAATATGCTTTTTGGCGCAAAAAGTAGTTTGAACTGATTACAAAAAAAGTCCTTTGTTCTGAAGTGGCCCTCAAGAATTAAAGTAGTCGAGCAGAATTGAAATCTTAACCAAACCAGCATAGGGAATCAAGCAGCATCCGAGAGCCAATGGTTCAATTCCAACTAGTGGAGAAGTTGGAGCTTAATCCTTTTAAGTGTTGAAAGAGCATCTTCCATGCTAATTCTTGCATCTGGTGTCACTAAAGTACAGCTCAAAGCTAATTCCATGATAGATAACAAACATTGCATCTTTGAGTTGGTTTGTTCATCTCGTGACTGTACCAAATTAGAATCCACCACCTTATGAATTCCACTTGGAAAAGAATCACTAACCCAACGTCGTAAGCTCAAGTCTCCATTGAATATTTCATCACTTGGTCTCATTCTTGTAAATGTCTCCATCATCAGGATGCCAAAACTATAAACATCACAGCCCGTGGATACTATTCCATCTTGTCCATACTCTGCAATCATGGTAAAAATCTGTCAGAAAAACTTCCTAGTTATCATGTCATAGGCTAAAACTGAGAGTACCAATTTATATCTAAGGAAAAGAATTGTTTTGGGTATTCTAAGGATATGAGAAAGCTTTAGAAAGTTGTAATACCTGGAGCAATATATCCAATGGTTGCAATTGTCCTTGTTTGAACAAAAGTCTCCCCATCACCTAACAATTTAGCAATGCCAAAATCAGTGACATGGCCAACCATTTCTTGATCTAGCAAGACATTGCTTGGCTTCAAGTCACAATGCACCACACGTGTTGAATAGCCATTGTGGAGATAGTCCATTGCAGATGCAACATCTATCATTATATCTAATCTCTCCAATAAGTTCAAGAACAAGTTGTGAGAGTATAACCATTGATCAAGTGTCCCATTGGGCAAGTACTCCAATACTAGGGCCTTGAAATCAAGGTTGGAGCAGCTGGTGATGACTTTGGTCAGATTTCTGTGGCGAAGGTTTCGAAGTATCTCACATTCTGTGTCAAAACTTTTGAATGCACCCTCCAATTGCACATTGAAAACCTTTGCTGCGAAAAGGTTACCATCTTTAAGTATCCCTTTGTAGACCGTGCTGAAACTCCCATTACCAAGCAAGCTGCTTTCATTGAATCCTTCTGTTGCTTGTTCAAGTTCATAATAGGAAATTCTTTCATGCCCTTTTACCAAAGACACATCTGCTTGAGCTGCATTCTTATTTGGTTTTCTCAATCTTAAAAATACATATCTGAGGGCTAATGCAAGAAATAGCAGACCCACCCCAAAAAGGACGTAACAAACGAAGATTGCCTTTTTCCTCTTGTGAGATTTGATGATGCATGGTGGCACATGAAATTTAGAATCACCACAGAGTGCATCATTGAACAAGAAAGATTGATATGTGGCATCTGCGAAAGGACCACCCGTGGGAATCTCTCCACTGAGTTTATTGAATGAGATGTTCAGATATTTGAGATACACAAGAGCTTCTAATGACTTTGGAATTTCACCATTAAGATTATTATAACACAAATCCAAGAAATTTAAGGCCAGCATTTTACCAAATGATTCTGGAATAGGCCCATCTAATCTATTATGTGCAAGAGAAAGTTTAATCAATTTATCGAGACCCCCTAGAGTGCTAGGAATCTTACCAGAAAATTTATTGTTTGACAGATCAATGAGTGTTAGAGCCTTTATATTTCCAATCTCCACGGGAATATTCCCACTCAATAGATTGGATGAGATATCGAATTCGATGAGATCATGAAGGCCCCCCAAGTTTTCAGGTAAACTTGAATTCAAGCTGTTGTAAGCTAGATAAAGATACCTCAAACTGGTGACTTTTCCTAAGCATGGTGGCACGGAACCAGAAAATACATTTCTTGACAAGTGTAATGCACCAAGATTCTTTAAATTGCATATAACATCTGGTATGGTTCCTTCTAACTTGTTATTTCGTAGGTAAAGTTCTTGAAGATTCAGCATGCCTTGGATAGTATTCGGGATATGTCCAGTCAACTCATTGTTAGACAGACTCATCTTTATAACTCTTGTAAGATTACCAATTTCTTCAGGAATGACACCCTTCAGTTTACAACCCCGTCCTACAAAAATTTGTAGAGAATTGGAGAAATTTCCAACAGATGATGGAAAAACACCATCCAACGGATTGTCAGCAAACCAGAGAGATTTTAGTTTCCTACATTTTGTTAAAGATGTAAGGAAGCTCAATGCTGAATCACCAAAAAAATTATTCTTCTCAAAGGTAAGCATCTCAAGGTACTCTAAGTTACCAAGTGATTCAGGAATTGGACCTGTGAAACTGTTATCTGCGAGATCAAGACCTCTGAGTCTTGAAGAATTTGAGATTGAAGCAGAGATAAAACCACTCAGATTATTACTTCCACAAACAAATTCTTCTATGTTGGGGATTCCACGACCTAAATCGGAAGGCAGAGTACCTGAAAGCTTGTTTTGTGAAAGTTGTAGGGCCTGTAGTGCTGACATGTTGAAAATGTTTGCGGGGACAGAACCAGTAAACTCATTCTGGGATAATCCCAGCGCCTGTAGTTTCTTAAGATTACCTAGCTCCGCTGGTATCTCTCCTGTCAAAATATTTGAGTACCATTATGTTATGGTGGAAGACAGAAAAGGAAGAAAATTTCATAAAGAAATATCATGCTACCTTCCAAAAGCATATTTCCAAGATATAATATTCTTAGTTCTGTTAAGTTGGCTAGCTCTCTTGGTACAACTCCAATGAACTTATTGACGGACAATGACAAGACTTGAAGCTTTCTGCATTTTCCTAAGTTTGGTGGAATGGCTCCACCTATGTGGTTTTTTGAGAGGTGAAGCCCTTCCAAGTTTGGAAGATGATCACATATAGTTGTTGGAAGCTTACCAGTAAGTTTATTGTCTGTAAGACCAATTTTTGCATCGTTCTAATGTTGAAGATTGATGGTGGTATAAAGCCACTAAGCTGATTAGACTGCAGGTCTAAGAAAACCATATAACGAAGATCACCGAGTTCTCTAGGGATCTCTCCTTGGAGAAAATTTTCCTTTATTCTCAACTCTTCTAGCTTTGTTAGATTGGAAAGGAATGATGGAATTTCCCCTGAAAATTGGTTTGTCGAAAGGTTCAGAAACCGCAGGTTTGGTAACAAACGTAAAAACGATGGAATGGCTCCGGTGAAGTTATTGCTTGTGACATCAATCAATTTCAACCTCTGCAAATGAGCCAATTCTTGTGGCAATTCTCCATAAAAAGTGTTGTTACTGATGTCGAGGGAAACAAGAAATGAGAGGTTTCCGAGGTGTGGAGGAATGGTACCATGAAGTTGCATGCTAGAAATGTTTAAAGCAGTAACTCGATGGTGGCGGGAGCTGCAAGTGATTCCAATCCAGCTACAAACTAGGCCTGAAGAAGACCAGTTTCTTGCTAAGATATTATTAGGACCAAAAGAAATGTGAGATTTCAATGCAAGAAGAGCAGCTTCATCGGTGCTAATATTGGGAACAGTAGCAAAGGAAGTATGGTCATGTAGCAGAATGAAAACTGCAAGAGCAAAGAGAAGATTGCCCATAACTATAACAGGCTGGTTTTTTACTTTTTCCTTGTTGAGCTAAAACAAGAATTGTTAGTGCAAAGCAATGATCTCAGAGGATCTACTTAATGATATCAAATTCATTGTACACCAATCAGTTTTTGGAGTGTTTTTTGGTTAAGAGTTGTGTACTACAACTGGAAGTCAGTCTACAAGTCTAGTCTCCGGAGTGTCTTTTAGCTAAGATTGTCAATTTAGCTGGCTGGATACCATACTGTCCCAATGGTCTAATAATCAAATATTCTTATTAGTTGATAATATTAGTATTAGTTGGAAATTTTGTGAAAGATTCCTGTGAAAAGTTTCATTAATGCGGAATTCGTGTCGAGTAGACCTTGTTTTTGTGAAAATTCTTAATTCATGAGTTGTAGGGAGGAATTTATGTCACCACAAACAGAGACTAAAGCAAGTGTTGTATTCAAAGCTGGTGTTAAAGAGTACAAATTGACTTATTCACATTCTATTCTGCGAGATTAGAAAATCACCATCAACACTTCGGTCTAGGTCCGATATAATCCTTTTTTCCATAGCCCTGGGGCTATTTACAACTAGCCAATTAAGAAGTCTCAGATGCACTAGCACTGCATCTTTGATGCAGTAATCGATTCTCCCGAGAGGTCACAATTGCCGCGAGCAAAGATATTAATGACGAGGAAGGCTTTTCTGTTATGCTACTAATACTTGCTCTGCATTCAAATGCCCTTTTTTGGTTTAGAACCCAGCCGTATAATTGAATTAGGATCGATTGGCCTGAACCCTACTTCTCTTTCACTGCTCGGGTTATCCTGAAACTGCTAACCTGTCCCCTTCGACTGAACGACGAAATTCTTTCACCGCGCACAAATACTTTTTTTGTAGGTCCATGGAAGCTATTAAATGTACTGGGTAAGACAGCATTTAATGCCTCAATTTCCGCCTTACCCTATGTCAACCTTTAATCCTATTCTTTCTGCTCAGTTGTGGTCCTACATGACCTTAGTTGGTCTATTTAATGATATTATGGGATACAAAGTGACTAATTTAAACCTAAAATCTCAAAATGAAGAAGATTATGTTCATTCATTTCTAAATCCAATTGATACCTTATTGATTTAGTATAATCTATTCGAATTAAAACATGGATTCAAGGATAAGGGTAACAGAAATTTCTCGCTGATGCATAATAACAAATAAAATTTTACTTAAGTTACAAAGATATAGGTCAAGTAGGAACAATGAAAGCCTTACAAATGAGTCTATACTAAGAAAATTGGATTTTGCTGGCTTCTAAAGCCACATTCTCAGTTACAGATTGCTGTTTTTACCTTTATCTTCAACTAAGGCAGAAAAGAACTCTCTTTTTTTAACAGTGCGTTGTCAATTTTTTTGGCCGCCATTAGTCAAGTAATATGGTCACTAGCATGTATAAATAAGTACACCAATGATACGGCGCGATATGATGTAGCGCAACAATAATAATTATTCTCAATCTAAGCATATTAGGGTTGGCTGGCGTAGCCACATACATTGATGGGTGGTCAATCGAACACCCTTCATCGAAAAATTATAGTATATATAGGTCAAAAGTAAATTTTTTGTTTGTATATTAAATTTTGAACACCCATTCGCGAAATTCCTGACTTCGCCACTGGCCTGTATGAATCCTCGTTGCCCACATCGTTCCATTTAAGCCTATCTCAGTCCAATAACGTCTTACGAACCAAGCAAGTTTGTATATCAAAACTTAGGGGGTGCAGGCTAGGATGTAACACTGCATACCATGATGATCTAGAATCCATAGTGTTGAAAGTCACACTTTTAGCATAACCTTGGAACTGTTTTTGAGATTAAGAAGCTTTCAGCAAATTCAGGGTTCTTGCAAAAATTTAATAAAATCAAATAATCAATGAGGATCAATTTATTTATCATTCATATTTAATCGATGATGTGAATCTTGTGGCATTCTCCTATAGATACTGATCTACACTTATAGTTAGAACAGCAAAACAACTTCCTTGCGTTCTCCGAATGATCAACATTGAGCTTCAACTTTTCACACTGAACGTTGGCATAGAATGCAACAACAATTACTATTGCGCCTCAATCTCAAGTAAGTTGAGGTCAGGTATATGAATCTTCACTGTCCATATCATCACTTTATACAAGCTCATTCTTGTTCAACGTTATATAATACTTGACCCTGAAAATTCTCTATATTTTCTACTAACATATAAATCTACTAAAGAGAGACTAAAGAGAGTTTTGCTAGAAGAGCGGAGGGTCTTTATCAGATTCATGGCGTCCGGTAGTTTGTGACGAGCAGAGAAAAGGCAAGTCTACGTACTAGTTTTATAAATTACATAGTTTTGTTGTTGTTTGGGACCTCTTCGGAAAACGACGCACCATATATTTTTTCTATTGAACATCCTCTTATTTAAACTCCTCGCGGAGTTGCCTTTCTACTGCAGGTTCAATCGAACTTACTATTAAATTTGAATGCATAATTTTAAACTACAATGAGTTTAATCTTTAAAGTCAAACCCATCAATTTTGAATCCTAGATTTGCCTCTAAGTATGATGGTTAGATCCACCACCTTTGACCAGATATCTCGAATTTGAATCCCTAAAACTAAAAACTTCTTTCAAGAGTGCTTTACGCCCTTGGTGGCCTACCCGGCGTGTATCTGGATTAGTAAGTTTCAAATACCAAATTATAAAATTAGAAAAGGAAAAAACAGTCCTCTATTCTTTTCTATTTTTCTAGTTAGATGTCACTTAAGTATGTTGTTCATTATATTTAGAGTAGAAACTCACTAACAATAATTTCGCAAATACTTAATAATCCACCTCCTATATTATGATGGACGAGTAGAAGCCTGGCCCTGATTTTCATGATAATAGAAATAGAGCTAAAGGGGTATCAAATTAATCCTTTATAGTTTAATTAGTTTGTATGATTCATCCAAATTAAAAATGGAGAGACTGATTGATCAATTCATCTTCACTCAACTCATCTTAATTTAAAGTCCAAACTTGGATGAGTTATGATATAATTCATTTTGATCACGACTGTGTAACTCATCCAAACTTTAAGTTGCACGGACTGTAACATGTTTATCTTCTAAAAATGAGCTTATTTTAAATACTTTCTCATAACTCTAAAATATTGCTAGAAACACTATTAGAAACAAATATAAGAAAAAACAAGTGACAGATGGTCAATTAAATAAAGTAATATTGCGGACATATTTGTCATTTTCCCAATTTCAACCGAAATCTCCTATTTGCTTGCTCCTTTGACACTTGCATCTCCTCGACAATGGCCATAATTTTCATGAGCAAGTAATAATTATGAATTTCCTTTCGTAATATTCCCATTGAATATTACATGTGTGCATCGCACATCATATATCATCCACTCAAAGACGATCTAAGATTTTGTATTAGGACATACATGAAAAATGAAAGCTTTGCAAATGACTATACTTTGTTGGCAACTCAATGTTTCTGTCTTTTTGAAACAAACTTAGGAGGCAGACAATTAAGAACTACTTACTGTTTTGTAACCTGTATTCGTAAAATAATTCTGGAGAATAAAAACAACGTAAAAACAGAAATGTAGAAGAAGCAGAAATTAATCGGAGCCTACTGAATTCACGGTGTTTCCTTAAGGAACTTAATCCCCTCTTAATACCTGAGGTTATGGATTATTTCCTCCCAGGATAGAACGGATTACACACTAGTGTAGCGGTACTTCAAACCCCAGTGTTTCAGCGAATACAAATGATCGGTAGCAAATCACACTTATTATTGCTTTCTTTCAGCAAAAGAAAGAAGGAGAATTCAGAATTTTCGCAAGGAAAAGCTGAGGGAATGGCCTGCTATTTATAGCCAACAGATTGGGTTTAAACGAAGAGATGCAACTCTTCAAGATGACCGTTCACGTAAAACGGCTATTACGTAAATGGTTATTTATGCAAAATAAAACGAGAAAATAAAATCGAAAGGAAACTTTAAATTACCGTTGCAAAAATGGACGATTTGGATTAAATAAATATTTAACAAATAAATTTGGTCCAAAAAAATAATTAATCAAATCTGAAACTGAGCTGAGCAACAACGGCGTGTGGCTTGCTAGTTCTCAACTCATTAAGAGGTAGAAGAAGAGCAATTGTATATATAACCATCAAAACTCTTTTCCTCCTCCAATATGAAACAATGTCCCTTTGTTAAAGAGGTAAATTCAAATATTTCATTTTTCCTTCCATTCCCCCTTCACTTCATTTTAAGCAATAACAAACTTAAACACAACACTTACTATAGAAACATGTAGTCTTTTAAAGACACCACTTTATGTAACGGCGCAATGCCACCACAAGAATGTAATAGCCCAACCTTATGTATTGATGCTAGCTAATAATATGCATCTCTTTTGGAACCAAAAAAGTATAGTAAATAAGATGCAACGTTGTAACAGCCACCATAATTAGTTGACATTGGCAGTAGATAAAGAGACAAGATTTGTTGGTATAGACAATTTCATCCACAACCTACTCGGGTTCAGGCAATGTGGTGGCTAGTATGTACATATTATACATATACAATCAACAGTAGATGTGATATAATCACACAATAGTCCATATGGCAATAACATCTCTTAGACCAAATCTCAATATAAGCAAATACACACACCATGATGCTCGCGTCTCCTTCGTGTTTGTAAGTTCACACTTTAAGCATAATCTCGGGATAGGGTTCCCTTCTGTTGAAAACATCATTTAGAACTGTTTTTGAGATTAAAGAAGCTTTCAACAAATTCAGGGCCTGCAAAAGTTAATACCATCAACGACGATTTGATATAATTATTAAATAAATCACGCATGTTAGGACCATTGTACATTTGAATCTTTTGGCAGTCTCCATAATGTATAAATGAATTTATGGTTTTCAACTTGTGTTCTTCTGCTTCTGCGCAAGTTATCATTACTTTCTATGATATAGTCAGTTTTAATTGCAACTTTTCTGATGTACAAAAGCCTCTTAACTCTGTGCTGACTTATTTAACAAGTTTAGAAGATGCCAATTTTCTATAGAGGCCCTTCTTTTCTACCTTCTCTTTCTTTCTTCTGTTTTCCAATTTGGGGGTTGCGTTGGTGGATGAAGGGTGGCTTCCATGGGTACCCCGCTTCAGATTACCTAGCATATTATGAGAATCAAGATTTTCCCCTCCTGTAAGCGCATAGAGGGGAGTGGGCACTCGGCTATTGAGAGGACTCCTATTGTCTTTCTTTCGTTATGGTGGAGTCTCCGACCCCATTTTGTTGCACTACCAGAGAAGACCCCCAGCCAACTACTTTCTCAACCGAAAATGGAAACAAGACTACTGAGTGATTCCATTTATCACTTGCGTCATTTCTAAGGTCAGAAATAAATTTTTAGAATTTAAGCATGAAATCATTGTTAATCTCAAAATGTATTATGTTCACCCACCATAATACGAGCAAACCCCAAAAAGAATTCCAAATATCTAGCAACAGATAATGAAAGGGATCAAGTAGAAGGCATACCTCATACTCTCCAATGAATACAGTGCGCTCCTCCAAGTCACCGGTTGACACCTTCATTTGATTAAGAAGAGTTATGATCGAGGTAGGGGAAAACTGAGTCACTAGAAGATTATCCAATATCATAAATGTTGCAGGTCCTTTCAAGTATCCTTCACCCTTTATAGTTTCTCCTGATGGAGATTTTGGATCCAAAATAATGGGTAAATTGCTAGCTTCTTCCTCATATTCTATTGATGACCCCTCGATTTTATTAGTGTTCCTTACTAATTCTAAACCTCCAAAGCCATCATATCTGTATTTTCGGCATTCCTCTTCCACCCGAAGAATATGACTGTCAAAACCAGAGTATGGGAACAATTTCGGAGAGAGTAGCCTATTTTTGCACTCTTCTGATTTAATATAGTTTTCTGAACTCAAATTCGCAGTGCCCTTGTACAAATTATCGATGCACCCAAGTCTTGAGTTGCCACCTAGAAGCTTTACCACAACCCCTAAAGGGAATGCAAGGAAACTGAAAAGGAAATCTACAAGCTTGACCCCAGCTTCCGCATACAGAACTTTTTGCTTACTTTTGCTAACTATAAGCTTCAGGCTCATACTATTTGAGTTTTGAGAAACGGCCTTCTTGTCTAACTTGGCAGTTAGGGTATCTTCAAACTTTGATGTATCTTTCACCCAATTCCCCTGGCTAGTCAATACCATATTTGTCAAAGGTGTCTTGGAGAGCAATGAAACTTTCAGAAGTCGAAGCACCTACATGATGAGGTAGGGAAGTTAACTAAACCAGAATAAAACAAGAAGCAACGTGAATTGAAACAAAAAGTAGAAGCAAGTAAAAACGCCAGAGTTTTATTGTGGTAATGGATGATACAAATGGATACTTCAATACCGGTGCAAGTAGAATCAGTTAGTGGAAGAAGATTAAGAGATCATGGAGCAGATAACCAAGAAATTAGCAAATGAAAGCGTCTTAATTATAACCTTTCAATCTTGCCTATGTTCTTCTAAAGGGTCAGATTTATTTTACTTCCAAATATTGTATGCATTTAACCTCCATTATACTTTCGGGACATATATACCCTTACCGTTAGTAAAGTATACAAATCTACCCTTATTTTTATCAGAGGTCCACATGGCCTCGCATTTCAATGAAGTGGACGCCATGTGGCATGCCAACTCACTACCCTAACCCCATTTTACCGCCTCCCCCAATACTTTCTCTTCCCCTTCCATTTCTTATGATGCCACCACTTGTCCCACTCAATTTAATCAACATAGGCCCTCTTTGTTTTCCAGGTTACTGCAACTTCATTACTTGGAATAAGCAATGACACAATATACACTATAACCTTACCTCTTTAATGGATCTATGATCGTTGAAGTTTGTGACAAAAAAGAAATGTCCAATCATATTTATTTGCCTGAAACAGAAAACTTGGGTGATGCAGAAATTGATATTTGTCATTCTGTTTATAAGTCCTGCTTTGACAGACATTTTTTAACCATAAGGAAGATAATGGAAATAAGAGGGGTTTCTTTTCTCACAATTCTTTCTTTGTTTTGGGTGATTTCCTTACTATTTCGATCCCCCACACACCAGCAGAAGAAATACACACTAACAAAATAAGAAAAATAATTGTCTGATCTTTGTCACATGTTATCTATAACCAATTAGTACAAGTGGGCAAGCAAAACCATGATAACCCAAAGAAAGCTTTATTTCCTTTATATTTTTTTCGGCTTAAGGACAAAAGAATCCTTATCAATAATGTAAGCTAGCTCCAAGCAATTACGGCGAAGAAGTGTCAATGGTATTGGTATACTGCAGCATAGGTATAAGTTAGCTCCAAGCAATTTAAAGTAAGGGGACAAGTGGTGGCGGCGTAAGAAATGGAAGGGGAAGAAATAATATCGCAGAAGGGGGTAAAATGGGGTTAGGGTGCTGAGATGGCATGCCACGTGGTGTACACCTCATCAAAATGTCAGGCCATGTGGACCTCCATTAAAAATATGGGTAGATATGAATACTTTGCTAACGGTAGGGGTATATATATCTCAAAAATATAACAAAGGTTAAATGTAAACATTATTTGAAAGTAGAGGGATAAATTTGACTCTTTCCTCTTTCTTTAATGAGAAACTCTTAGTTATCAATAGTCTATGTATTAATAGAGCAAAATGGTACATTCAACGAGTACATGCATCACAAATCCTAACAACAGATCCCTACTCCAAGAGTCGGGTGAACAAGAAGAAACGCAATAGTTCGAAATTCAATATCATCAACTATTCAAGAACTGTGTGTTAGTTTCTCTCTAAACCTTAATTCTGAACAAGGGCTGAAGAAAAACCTAGAGCAGCAGATGGTAAAATTTAATGTTTCAATAAAGTGATCTAAATTGTGCTTGCTTAAAATAAAAACCATAGGAAGAAAGCACGGACAATGTGTTAAAGGAAAGAGTTAAATGCAAACTAAGTTGACATTCCAATTTAAGCACTTCTGCCATGCAATTTTATTCTTCCTAGGCATTAATGACACGCTCGAATTGAGCTTTAATATGTCTTATATGAACAATAAGACAAAGTTCAGAGTGCCCGTTTTGCCATTTAAGCCAATCAATTTGGAGGAAAATATTTTCCAAAACATTTAAACCAACTAAACATGGGAAAATTGAAAAAGAGTTTGTGTTCAGAGTGCCCGTGTGTTTGTTCATACCCAAACACACCCAAAGTAAAAGAGTTTAGCTATGCTCCTCTCGTCGGTGTAACTCTTCTAGGCTGGACCTTACTGATTGTCTAACCTGCCACCATCCTAATACTTAAATTTTATTTCTCTCAAGCCTGACTAATAGTACAGCATGACCTTTCTAACCAAATGCGATGATAAACCATATAATAGTTGGAAGGAGAAGCAGTGATTTCAGAACTGCTCTTATGAAATTATCTTGTAATACTAGTTAAGGACTTTAAAAATAACAACGGCATGCATAGTCCAACATATTAGGTAAAGGCATTACCTCTTTAGTGCCAACTTCTACGGTCTTTTCCTCGATTTCGTTCTTGTCACTGACTCCAAGCTTTCCAAACAAAGCAGTTAAGCTAGCAGTTGAGGCTGGCATTATCTGTAAATCATCAGTGATCATAAAGCTCGCTGCACCAGCCTTCAGAAAAACTCCATCCCCACCTTCTCCCCCAGAACTTCTATCCTCTCCCTTCTTATTAACACTTCTTGGTGATCTCATTGGAGAACCACAACGGCAACTTGCATTCGTAAAGAGACTATAAAAGTTTTTTATTTCATAGCAAGAGTATGAAGAACATGCAAACAACTTCCCTGCAATCTCCGAATGATCAACGTTGAGCTTCAACTTTTCACACTGAACTTCTGATGCGTTTCGGGGCGTGATCAACATAGATTTGCAATAGCTTGTACGCAAGAACCTAGGATCAAGAGAATAAACACTAGCGTAGATGCGGCTAATGGACCCCAGTTGAACCATATCTTTTTCAAGAAGTCTTAGAACTGTGCCTAAAGGGACTGTCAAGAATGACAAAAGTGTTTCAATGAACTCATGGTCCGACTCTGCAAAGATTACTCGGTTTCTAGTCTTGTCAATCATAACCTTAAGTTTGATAACCTGAAATTGAAGAATCCAAATAGTCATAACTTTAAGCATGCATACAGTAATTGCTATTTGCCACTTTCTCCAACCATTTTGTTCGGCATTATTTGACTAGTCTGGAATATAATTTTAACATATAAGTTAAATACACATAAAATATCAGAGTAAATTTCATTGGTGGTCATTCAACTTTGTGTTCATTACCCAAAAGTCATTTTTCTTTGAAGATTTAACCCAAATAGCCGCTCACCTAATCTCTTAAACTTAAAATAGCCGGCGGATGTATAATATAGATATAATTCATGTACAATATATGTATAACTATTATATTTAATGTATAATTTATGTATACCGGCTAGAAAAAGTAAAACTTAAATATGGCCGGCTATTTGTGTAACAATCCCTTTTTCTTTCTTTTGTTACATAAAAGTCATTCAACTTTGTGTTCATTACCCAAAAGTCACTTTTATTTCTTTTGTTACACAAAAATCATTTTACTATGCACTAGTTATCACAATAATCACTTTGACCAGATTTTACAAACCTTTTACCTGAAAAGTCTATTATGCCCTTGACATTATAAATCCTCCCATTTATGTAATACCTTCTATATTATATGCTATATAATATACTTTTACCCAGGTATTTTACTTATAATTAAAATAACTTAATATTATTTTATTTATTATTTTTATAATATATTCGTATATTTAATTTTTTTCTTAATATTAATTTTCAAGATATATAAGTAGTGTTACTAAACTTGTCAGTAACATTACCTTAAACAAATCTCAAGTCCACGTTCTTAATCATCTTTAATGAAATATGGTTAATGAAAATTAAAAAAGCAAAGCTCGTTGATTTATCAGCCAAGCCATACCCATTAATTTGATAGATGGAATACTCACATTTAGCAAAATGACACATCATATTAATACTTTTAAATAAATAATATTAACAGATAAAGCTTTAAAAACTTAATATTAAACACAAATATCTTTGAAACTTTTTTCAAAATTTATCATTTGTTAAACAAATCTGTTTTTATTATTTTATATAAATATTAAAAATTAAATATTTTTTTATCATTTTTATATTATAAATATGTTCATGTTTGAATATGATTAAACAAATTGAGTGCCATAAAAAATTAAATGTATGGATATATTATAAAAATAATAAATAAAATAATATAAAGTTATTTTAATTATAAGTAAAATACCTAGGTATAAATATATTATATACTATATAATATAGAAGATATTACATAAATGAGAGGATTTTTAATGTCAAGGACATAATAGACTTTTCAAATAAAAGTATTATAAAATCTGGCCAAGGTGACTTTTGTAATTAATAGAGCAAAGTAATATAATCTGTGAGTAACAAAAGAAAGAAAAGTGACTTTTGCGTAATGAACACAAAGTTGAATGAGCACTCATGAAATTTACTCAAAATATCAAAAGTATCCTTGTATCACAATAAGTCATGTTAATATTAAGAAGGCAAAATAGCCTTCCAGTCACCTAAACTTACACTGATTTTTCAAGCCGGTAAATAAACTTACGAATTTCTCATTTTGATACTTACACTTTACAAATCAATTACTAATAAGCGCCTTTGACCGTTGACTATGCCTATGTGGAGACAATGCAGCTGACATGGCCAAAGTACGTGCAACTCACACATAAAAGGCGCGTGAATATGTTAGTTTTGATAGAAAAGGTATTAAAAACTATATTTATAATAAAAAGATAATAGAAGAATTAAAAAAAGGCAAAAAGGCCTCCGGGCCACCTAAACTTGCACCGGATTTTAAAGTCGGTATATGAACTTCCGATTTTTTTATTTTAGCACCTCAACTCGATAAAGTTACTTATAATAAACCCCTCCCTCATAGCATGTATCTCAACCGCCTGACATAAATACCACGTAAGATGCTAAGACCATTTATTATTTGATATTTGTAAATTGTGGGTCCTATCTTTTTTAAACCTAACTTATCAAAATTTTAATTTTTTTTTTCCTTTTCCTTTCTTTTCACCATTGCTCTGCCAAAACCTTTCATTACCCAGCCATCATTTTCAATGGTAAAAGTCCAAATCTGATCCATTCATATCCTACTACATATTTTAAACCAACCTCAATCTAGAAATTAGTCCAAACAAACTATAAGATCTTTCTAAAAAAGTATCAAAACTATTCCGATAAAGTTTCCCCCGAAAAAAATAACATCTCGACGACACTCGTAAAAATCAAAATTAACAGACCTCCTTAAGCACCTATTACTTCCCACCCCTGAAAGTTTCAAGTAATTTCATCGTTCCAATCGGCCAAAGAAGATCGCCGGAAATGTTGTTACCACCATACCTTTGCTGTCAACTGAAAAAATGAGATAGACCAATGCCAAAATGATTATTTTGTGGAGAAATAGAGGATGGCCAAGGGATCGTTTAAACTTTAAAGCTGCAATGAAGAGAAATGAGATGGGGATGGGGAATGGGAAGAAACTGTAGGGAGAAAGAAAAGGTGGGGTTTTTTTTTTGCGGGGGGAGGGAGGGGATGGGTAAGGAAGAAGATCAGAATGGGATACGGTAGGGATTTAGGATTTTTTTAAATTTTTTATTTGTTGTCTTTTATTTACTTTTCCTTTTTCTTTATTCACATTTAACATTTTTAAATAGAGTAATTCGAACGACGCACTTTTTCTGCGTGATTGGCACGCACTTTGACCATGTCAGTTGTGCTACTGCCACATAAGCATAGTCAAAGGTCAGAGGTATTCACTTATAAACAATCGGTTAAGTTGAGATGCTAAAATAGAAAAATCAAAAGTTCATATACCGGCTTTAAAATCCGGTACAAGTTTAGGTGACCCGGAGGCCATTTTGGCTTTAAAAAAAACTAAACACTTCTTCAATTCTTCCCAGCCCCTCTGTCCCCCTCTCCTCCCCATTACTTTTGGTTTCTCATCCCTGCATTTTTCACGTCCCCATCCCCATATTCCCTCTCCATTTTCCCTCTTTATTTCTTTTCATTATTGTTCTCTATTCAAAACAAATTTAGGGTTTTTTCTTCTTCTATTGAGTAGAAGAATTTAGAGAAGGAGGAAAAAAGATACCGAAGATAACCCACAACTTTATGTGAAGCAAATCACCAGAGAAGTTGCCAAAGAAAAAAGAATCTGGCTTTCTGAAATTGGAAATTGGGTCAAACCGGTAGTAAAGAAATTGATTTTTCTATTTACTGGGTCTGATTCTTCGAATCGAATCAATTAGGCTCCAACTATTTGAAGTGAAAAATTTCTCTCTGGTAAAGTGATGATTTCTTTGTGAAGCTGATGGAGATGGGAAATAGATTTCAGTTGTTGGATGGGTTGAGTTTGATTTGATATGAAGTTATGGATTTTGAAAGTCTCTTAGAAATGGTTTAAAGAAAATAATGAAAGGAAAATAAAGTTGATATTTTGGAGAAGAAAGATGTCACCAAAGGAACTTTTTTTTGTGGTTAGTCTGGTGGAATTGGTCTTCTTGACCTATGAAGAAGAAAGAGAAATAAAAAATAAAAAAAGAGTTTTATAAATTAAAAAGGTTGGGACCCACAAATTATATGTGTCAAATAACAACAGGTTAAGCATATGACATATTATCCACGTCATGGCGATTGCGGAACACACTCAGTCGGAGGTGTTTATTAGTAACTATTGTTTGAAGTATAAGTTTCAAAATAGGAAACACGTAAGTTTGTTTACCGGCTTGACAAATCAGTACAACTTTAAGTGGCTGGGAGGCCAGTTTGCCTATTAAGAAAATAGACTTTACTCCTAACTCAACTCCAGATGTTAGCTCAAGAGGTAAGAATCGCACAAAATCATAAAAGAAGATAACAATTAACAACCCACTCTCTCAACCAATGTCGGACATTTAGAATTAAAATGGATTTTGCTCTAATCCCAAGTTAAGAAAATGGAGTTGGATATAAATCAACCTAAAAATTAGCTCATGAGGTGAGATTGCCTATTTATCAATGTGAGATATTTAACACCTGAGCACAGGCCAGACCTTTGATACCACGTTAAGAAAATGAACATTTAGCCTAAGTCACCTCAAAAGCTAGCTCATGATTTTAGGATGGGCCAAGATCATGTAAAATAACAATATCCACTTCCTCAATCATTGTATAACACTTGACAGTTTAACACAGAATAAGAATGTTAACATTAACTGTTTTGTAAATAATAAATGTATCAATTTATTTTTAACAGACAAAAAATAAAAGAATGTCTAACAATTGGAAAAAGCGAATACAAGTTAAAGAGCAAAAATTAAACAAAGCTTTGTTTAAAATACCGGAGGATCTTCATCAGATTGATGGCGTCCGGTAGACATGTCAACTGAGAATAAGAGAATTTGAGAGCAAAACGATGGTTTTCTGGACTGAGGAGTGAAGAATGTGAGTAAACACAGTGACTCAACTTTACTTATTTGTGATGAACAGGAAAAAGAAAGTCTTTTAATTTATTTTCTTTTAAAGTCAAGATTCCATTAACTAAATTATTAGGGGGTCCGGTTGGAGCTATCCCGCTATTAGTTATTTCGGAATTAGTTATTTCGGGATTGTTATTCCACGCTCTCTTTGAAATAAAAATAATATTACAATTCTGAGATAATTAATTTCAGAATTAGTTATATCGCAATTTTATGTTAACTAAATGTATAATAAATTTATTTTAAATTTAATCCCAAAATTACTTATTTCTTATCCATTTTGCCAACAAGAAAGTGCCTATTTTTATTGTTTTGGTGCTGTGTACTGGTGTAAGGCCTCTTCGAACTTGGCGCTAATGACATTTCCATTTAACATTCTTTTTTAAGTGTCTATTTAGATGTTATTTATACGGATTGATCTTGTATAGATCAATCGTATAAATATCTTTACACCATTGGTATAAATTAATCTACTATAACAAGTCAGTTTTTATTTTTATGCGATTAAAGATTTGTTTTGTAATTTCCTTATCACTGATTTGAATTTGTAAATATGTTTTACTAATACTATGTCTGAACATCAAAATTTTGTATAGAAGTGTTATGGCTTCTTTGGCCCAGCTATAAAAATCAGCTTATTTTAAAAAGTACTTTTGGAAAAAAACAATTTGTGTTTGGCTAATCAATCTGAAATACACTTTTGAACAATAATTTGTGTTTGCCCAAACTTTTCAAAAAGTGCTTTTAAGTATCAAATTACGAATAAGTACATAAATATATTTACTTAATAGTTAATATTATAATTAAATAAATAATCTCAAAAGTTTGTTATTAAATACAATAATTAAATCTCATTCTATTTGAGTAGAATATGAAAATAAAATTTAAAAGTACTTTAATTCTTTTAAGATGATTTAAATATATTAAAAAATTATTCAGCAAATATAAAAGAATTTACCCCTAAAAAGTACTTTTGAGCAATAATTTATATTTGGCAAAACTTTTCAAAAAGTATTTTTAAGTATCAAATTGCGAATAAGAACATCAATAGATTTACTTAATAGTTGATATTATAAGTAAATAAATAATCTCAAATGTTTGTTATTAAATACAATAATTAAATCTTTTCATTCTATTTAAGTATAATATAAAAATAAAATTTAAAAGTATTTTATTTCTTTTAAGATGATTGAAATATATTAAAAAATTATTGAGCAAATATAAAAGAATTCAACCCTAAAGTCACTATATATTAGAAAAACTATCCTAAAATAAGAAGAAATACTTATACATTAAAATCCTAAGTATTAGATTTAAAATAAGTAAGAATATTTTGGTATATGCTATATTTTGTTAAGGGTATTTTTGGTAAGAAGAAAAGTCAAAACTGTTTCTGTTTCTGCTTCTTGGGAGAAATTATTTTTTTCTGCTTATTCACAAAAGCAACCCCCACCCCACCCCACCCCCCAAGAAGCTTGGCCAAACACTTTAGTTGAGGAAAAAAGTACTTTTAGGAAGAAAAAAAAATATTTTTGGCCTTTGGAAAAGCTTGGCCAAACAGGCTATTACTCTCTTTGTTTAAATTTATGTAGCAACTTTTTTTGTACCAAAAAGAATGATAGATATTGTAGAAATACACACAACTTGTAATGACCCGACCGGTTGTTTGAGTATTATTGCCATATTCCACCATTTATTGCTTATACAATGCTCATTTGTTGTTATGTAACTTGTTAGGATAGTCGCTTTAGTTCCGGGGATGTTTCAGAATAAATTGGGGCACTTAGTCCCAAGGTTGGAAGTCTAAGTTGAAAGAGTTGATCTGATGTTAACTTATGTTTAAATGACTCTGGAATGGAGTTTTGATGATTCTGATAGCTTCGTAGGGTGATTTTGGACTTAGGAGTGTGTCCGGATATTGATTTGGAGGTACGTAAATGATTTTGGCTTGAATTGGCGAAAGTTGGAAAAATAGAAGTTTGGAGAGTTGAGAAGTTTGACTGAGGGTTAACTTTGTGTTTACCAGGCTCGAACTTTGGTTCTAGATGTTGGAATAGGTCTGTTGTGTCATTTATGACTTGTGTGCAAATTTGAGGTCGATCAGAGTTGATTTGATAGGTTTCGACATCGATTGTATAAATTGGAAGTTCATTAGTTTCAATAGGCTTGAATTGGGTGGTGCGATTCGTGTTTTTGATGTTGTTTGATGTGATTTGAGGCCTCGACTAAGTTCGTATCGTGTTTTAGGACTTGTTGGTATATTTGGTTGGGGTCCCGGGGGCCTCGGGTGGACTCCGGATGGTTAACGTACCAAAAGTTGGACTTAAAGTAATTCTGGATTTTTGCCTACTAGTGTGATCACACATGTGAAGGCCTTGGTCATAGGTGCGTGGATGGCATCGTAGAAGCGGTCTGGAAGGATGTGGGCAGTGGTCGCAGGTGCGAGGTTATTTTTCGCACCTACGAAGTCGCAGATGCGGAGTTTTCACCGCAGATACGGTCGCGCAGAAGCGGATCTTTGGTACGCAGGTGCGAAAGCACTGGGCAGAATATAAAAATCGTAGGGTTCCGAGGTTTAATTATTTTTGGACTTTGCAAGCTCGGTTGAAGGAAATTTTTGTAACAACCCGACCGGTCATTTTGAGTGTTGTAGCCTTGTACCCCCTATTTACTGCTTATTTTATGCTCAATTGTCATTATGTGACTTGCTGGGGTAGTTGGGTTGGTTCCGGGGATGTTTCAAAATGAGTTGAGACACTTAGTCTCAAGGTTGGAAACTTAAGTTGAAAAGGTTGATCGGATGTTTACTCATGTGTAAATGACTCCGGAATGGAGTTTTGATGGTTCTGATAGCTCCGTATGGTAATTTTGGACCTAGGAGTATGTCCGGATAGTGATTTAGAGGTCCGTAATTGATTTTGGCTTGAAATGACGAAAGTTAAAAAATTATAAGTTTTGGAAATTTAGAAGTTTGACCGAGAGTTGACTTTGTCGTTATCGGGATCAGATTTTAGTTCCGGGAGTTGGAATAGATCAGTTGTGTCATTTACGACTTGTGTGCAAAATTTAAGATCAATCAAACGTAATTTGATAGGTTTCGGCATCGATTGTAGAAGTTGTAATTTCTTAGTTTTCGTTAGGCTTGAGTTGTGGTGCGATTCGTGTTTTTGATGTTGTTTCATGTGATTTGAGGCCTCGACTAAGTTCGTATCGTGTTTTAGGACTTGTTGGTATATTTGGTTGAGGTCCAGGGGGCCACGGGTGGAGTTCGGATGGTTAACGGATTGAAGTTTGGACTTGAGGGAATGCTGGAGTTCCAGTTCTGGTGCGTTGGTCGCAGGTGCATGACCGCAGAAGCGACATAATGAGCACTGAAGCGCCCTGGAAGGAAGTTGGGCTGTGATCGCAGGTGCGATGATTTGGTCTGCACCTGCGAGATCGCAGATGCGGAAATAGGTCGCAGGTGCGAAGGGGGCATGTGGCAATAGTCTCCACAGAAGTGGACGAGACCTCGCAGATGCGAGGAACTGGCCGCAGGTGCGCATGGTCAGAGGTTGAGTGGGCATCACAGAAGCGAAGTTTTTGTCGCGCCTGCGGGACCGCATGTGCGGGTAAATGGTCCGTAGAAGCGAAAACCTCTGGACAGAATATTCATTCGAGGGTTTCGTGATTTTTAATCATTTTGGACTTTGCAAGCTCAGACTAAGGCGATTTTTGAGAGGGATTTCGAGGGGTTTCTTGAGGTAAGTCCCTAGTGATCATTGTTATTCAATAATATTGTTTCCCCCATTGAATTTTCCACCTAGTATGTATGTTTTTTTGGTAGAATTTTGGGAGTTTTAGGCTAGGGAAATTTTGGCATGCATAACTGACATGTAGATATCGAGACGTATCATTTCTAATTTCAGTTACACTTGACATATCTTACATGCTTGAGATTTAATTGTTAAACTTGAAAGCATGTCTACATTTCTTTACTGTATTTCCGTAATTGGACTGTACATGTGAAGCTCGTCACTATTTTCAGCCCAAAGGATATACATGTTACTTATTGAGTTGGTTGTACTCACGCTACACTCTGCACTTTGTGTGCAGATCTAGGTGCTTCTGGGTACGGTGGTTGCTGACTTTGGAGCTATTATTCAGTTCAGAGATCCTCGGGGTAGCTGCTTTGGCATCCGCAATCCTTGACTCTCCTCCTTTATCATATAGGTCTATTTGTACTGTTCTACTCTCTTAGACAATGTTTTTCAGGCTTTGTTACTGTATAGATGCTCATGTGCTCAGTGACACCCGGGTTTTGGGACATTATGTATTGAGTTGTGACCTTTTCATCAAGTTTTTATGAGATTTTCACTTATTTAAACTTGTTTTAGTATATTTTGAATTTGAAAGTGTTGGTATGTATGAGTTGTCGGCTTGCCTAATATCATCATAGGCGCCATCACGACAGATTGAATTTTGGGTTGTGACAATTTTTGAGAGGGGTTTCACGAGATTTCTTGAGGTAAGCCACTTTTGGTCGTTTTTATCTATTTATATTGAATACCCATTGAATTTTGCCCATAGATTTGGTGTTTTTAGGTGAAAAATGGGAATTTTGACCCATGTATTAGAGAGTAATAATTGGAGATTTGAGTGGCGATTTGGTGTCAAAATTTGATAATTTTGGTATGGTTGAACTCGTGGTTGAATGGGTGTTCAGATTTTGTTAATTTTATTGGATTCCAAGATGTGGGTTCGGGTTGACTTTTTGAGTTGACTTTTTGACTTTTGCTTAAGAATTTAGCTTTAACATATGGAATTGATTCCTATAGCTTGTGTTGATTGTATCGAGTTGTTTGTGGCTAGATTCGAATCATTCGGAGGCCAATTCGCGAGGCAAGGGCTTGTTGGAGTAGAGATTTGCACGGTTTGAGATAAGTAACACCTCTAAACTTGGTCCTGAAGGTATGAATCCCTGAATTACGTGTTATGTTATTGGTGTAGAGGTG